TTGACCTTGCTTTTGCCATTGTCACCAAATGTGATACTATCAATCTCATTGCTCTCATTCTCATTGATTGAATTGAACATTCTTGAATCACCGGTCATATGTTGTGTGCACCCACTATCAAGCACCAAATGCCTTCCTCCGGCTTTATAATTGACCCACACAAGAAGATCAATTCTTTTTAGGTACCCAAACTTGCTTGGGTCCTTGAAGGTTAGTTACCAAGATCTTTGGTACCCAACTGACCTTCTTCTTTGGGCCTACAATTGGTGTACCAATGAACTTAGCCTTCACACGATTGGCGCCCTTAACAAGCATATAACAAGAATCAAATCTAATTGAGAATACATTAGGTTGCTTGTTCTTGTTAGTCTTGCAATATTGCTCTATATGCCCAACTTGCTTGCATCTATTGCAAAACCAACCATTGCCCTTCACAAAGCTAGCTTTGGGAGTGACAAAGGTTGCCTTGCCTTTCTTGGAGGTATAGCCTAATCCCTCTTTGTTGAGAGAAAACATTTGGCTACCCAAACACTTTAGCAAGCGGGCTTCTCCACCATAGGCATTGCCTAAGGCACGAGTGAGCTCATTCACCTCCTTCTTGAGGGTTTCATTTTCCACCATTAGTGCGGTCACATTACAAGTGAAACCATCACTCAAAAGTGAAGTAGAAGTGGTAGTGCTACAAGAAGGGTTAGTGGGAGCAACAACAATGGGCTTATAAAAGGATTCATAAGTAATATCACATGTTAGTCCCACATCACAAGACACAATCACTTGCTCCTTCTTGGATTCCTCCTTCTTGACTTGCTCGATGAGAGAGGAGTGATCCTTTTCAAGCTTAGAGTGAGCTTTGCCAAGCTTCTCATGGGCTTCCATTAGCCTCTCATGAGTGGCATTGAGCTCATCAAAGGATTGCTCAAGAAATTTTACTTTCTTGCACAATTCTTTGCACTCCTTTCTCTTCATCTCAAAGCAAGTGTGCACTTACTCACACATGTCCATGAGCTCCTCCTTGGTGTACTCCTCCTCATCATCATCACTCCTACAAGCATCACTTTCACATTCATTATCATCACTCATATCATATTTTACCTTGATAGGCTTTGCCATGAGGCATGTCGATGGAGTGTCGAAGATGGAAGGCTTGTTGTTGATGGCGATGCTTGCTAGTGCTTTCTTGATGGATTTCTTGTCATCATCACTAGAGCCATCACTATCCGAAGAGCCATCACTATCTCAAGTAACCACATAGCCTCCACCCTTCTTCTTCTTTTGGAAGGTTATCTTCTTCTCCTTCTTCTCCTTCTTGTCATTCTTATGCTTCTTCTTCTCATCCTCATCATTGTCGCTATTGTAGGGACAATACGCTACAATGTGATCAGAGCTCTTGCAATTGTAGCATCTTCTCACATATTCTTTGCTTTTGGTGTGATCTCTTCTCTTTCTTGCACCATAGCCCTTCTTTTTCATGAACTTGCCCTTCTTGCGCACAAAGAGAGCCATAGCCTTATCATCAATGTCACTAAGATCTTCATTATCACTTGATTCTTTCTTGGACTTGCCCTTGTTCTTGGATGATGAGCTAGCCTTGAATGCTACACTCTTGTTCTTCTTGTCTTCATCTTCCTTCTTGTCATCCTTGTCAACCCCCTCCCTTTCCACACGGTATGTCTCTTGTGTCATGACATCACCTAGTACTTGGTTAGGGGTAATTTTCTTCAATCCTCCTCTTATGATAAGCAATCTCAACATCTCAAATTTTGGAGGTAGGCACATCAAGAACCGATGAGAGACATCATCATCATTGATCTTCTCTCCCAATGCTTTCAAATCATTGATAATCACTTGCAATCGATGGAACATCTCTGGAATGCTCTCATCTTTCTTCATCTTGAAGCTTGTCAACTTGTCCTTGAGAATATACAACTTGTCACTCTTCGCCGCTGGTATGCCCTCATATGTTTCCTCCAATCTCTTCCACACCTCATTAGCTCTATCATAATCCTTGATTTACTCAAACACCTTAGAATCAATGCCATTGTAGATGGTGTTGAGAGCCATTGTATTGCATTGCTTGTTGGCCTGGTCTTGGTTGGTGAGATTGTCGAGATCAATGATAGCATAGTCACTCTCGGTCACATCCCATACTTGATCATTGATTGAACCAAGATACATCTTTATCTTTCTCTTCCAATAATCATAGCATGTGCCATCAAAGAACGTTGGTTTGCCCCCACATGGTTGAACATAACTTGAGCAATAATTTGACACCGATGTTATTAAGCCTTCAATGAAACAGTGACCACGGCTCCGATACCACTTGAAAGGTCCTAATATGGCTAGAGGGTGGGTGAATAGTCTATTTAAAAATCTACAAGATCACTAGAGCAATTTGATTAGTGTGACAAATAGCGAAATACAAACTTGCTCTAGCTCTACAAGAGTTGCAAGCCACCTATCCAATAATTCTAGTTGCTATGATCACTAGGCACATAATTTGCTAAGTCACTACTCACTAAGAGCTCTCACACTTGCTACACTAAAGAGCTCCACTAGATGAACTTAAACTATAAAGCAAGCTCTCAATTCTAGCTACACTAAAGAGCTTGCTACAACTAGTTTGCGAGAATGTAAATGAGTGAGTAGGGTGATTATACCGCCGCGTAGAGGAATGAACCAATCACAAGATCAATATCAATTCAATCACCGGGAGAATACTAAAGGGCAAGAGACAACCAATTTTTCTCCCGAGGTTCACGTGCTTGCCGGCACGCTAATCCCCGTTGTGTCGACCAACACTTGGTGGTTCGGCTGCTAAGAGGTGTGGCATAAACCTCGTCCACACAATTGGACACCACAAGAACCTACCCACAAGTGAGGTAACTCAATGATACGAGCAATCCACTAGAGTTACCTTTTCGCTCTCTGTTGAGGAAGGTACAAGACCCCTCCATTGCTCCTCCGCTGCTCCAAGTCATCTAGGTGGCGGCCACCACCAAGAGAAACAAGAAATTCGCAGCCACAACGATCCTCAAGTGCCACTAGATGCAATCACTCAAGTAAATGCATTTGGGATCACTCCCAATCTAACTATGATGAAGAATCAATGATGGAGATGAGTGGGAGGTGTTTGCTTAGGCTCACAAGGATGTCAAGTATGCCAAAATGCCAAGAGGGTTGCCTTGGAGCTGGCCAAACACTATTTATAGACGTCCTCAAGCGAATAGAGCCGTTAGAGTCAAAAGGGTGCTCTCTGCGTACTGACCGGACGTGCCCACACCAGCGTCCGGTCGCGTGGATCATGCCACGTGTCAGCGCTTTGAATTCTACGCGTTCGATCTCAACGGTCTTCTCTCAGTAGCGCGGTACGTTAAGTAGCGACCGGACGCACTGCTTAAACGACCCGACTCAGAACCACACGGCGTCATATCCTTTCTAGAGAGGTTCCAGAGCTGCTTTCTCTTTTTCTAAGTCCACAACCACTTCACCCTTGCTTCTATTTTGCTAACCACAAAGTGTAGAACTTGTGTGCATGTGTGTTAGCATTTTTCAAAGCATTTTATAAGGGTTAAGGTTAGCACACTATGTTCCTAAATGCATATGCAAGAATCATGTCACCTAGTGGCACTCGATAAACCGTTTAGCCAAAGATTTCCCCTCTTTATAGAACGGCTATCGATCCTAAGTCACACCCTCTATGGTGTCTTGAGTGCAAAACAAAAACCTATCATATACCTTTGCCATGATCATCTAGGTTTTTATTTTTCTTTCTTCTTTTCTAAGTTGAGCTTGATCATCTTTAACATATGTCCATCTCCATCTCCATGGACTTCATCACCATGCTCCACACTTGGATTGCACCAACATAGCTCATCTCACAACTCATAACAAAGGTTAGTGTTAGGTTTCATCAATTATCCAAAACTAAACTAGGGCTTTCAGAAGGCCCTCTCGTAGGTACAACGAGACGCGCTAAAAGCATTTTTTTGGTGCATACATGTTGAGCATGTGTTATCCTTGCCATCCAAACACCACTTCGAGATATGTGCCTTCTCAATCAGTAGTGTGAACCATTGGGGAGAGTAGTGTGAAGCATTGGAGAGTGAGCAGCACGAATCTCAAAGCAATATTCAACGGTGAAGATAGAACATGTTGAGCATGTACATGCTACAATGTGTTTTCACGCCATCGTCCTCGCGCTCCGATCGCCGCCCTACACTAAGGCGCTCTCGCGCTAGGGCCGACAGACCGCCGCCCCACACCATAAGGCGCTCTCGCGCTAGGGCCGACAGACCGCCGCCCCACACCAAGGCGCTCTCGCGCAAGGGCCGACAGAGGCATCGGAGGCGCGGTGTCCGATGAAGCGGCGCATGACAAGAGGCCCGAGCTTACAAATGTTCAATTGAGTCGCAAAGTGACATTTGGGGTATATAGTACTCTTTTTTTTCAACATATAGTGAAAATGTTATTAATATGAAATGAGAAATCTAGTTTACCATTTTCAAATATCAAACTCAAATACATGAACAGTACCCCCAAAGTTTACATTTGCTTACAGCAGGGCGTACTGAACACAAAAACATTTCTCTTTGATCAGCACTAGAGTTATAGTTAGGTGCAACATAATCCAAGAGTTGAGAGAATCATCACAACACAGTCCAGCAATGAGCTCAATGTTATTCAGACCACTATGAAAGGAACATTTAGATAGGCTCCCATCACATTATCCGACCAACAAATACCTCTCAACAGTAGAACAAGTACACGATCCCTCAAAAATAAGGTACAACAATCCCTTGCTATGATTTCCCCTCCTTGTGGCACCCAAACAAATAACAAACAGAAATAAATTCCATGCTTGTTTCCCTTCTTTTTCCTAACTAAAAGATGTTTCTGAAGCTGTCATCTCATGGGAATTGATCCAAAATTCAAGTCAGTACTTCTGCGGTATCATTTTGAAGAATGCTTTGGGTCATCTAAAACACCAATATAAGCCAGTGTCAAAAGGAGTTAACTGAGCGTATCTTGAGGCCCCTTGTTCGTCCAGGCGCACCGCCTGAGAGAGACGACAAATCAAGAGCCAGCCTGCGGAGAAGTTCATATATACAGAAACAAGTTTAAGCCCAAAGTCATCAGCAAATACTAATAGTATGGAATTGTGTAAAAAGAATATGGGCCAATGACATACAAGCATGCAGCTCCATTTTTGGCTTCATTAGTCTCAGATTGCAACAAAATTTCTGAGTCAGTTTTGGACACGATAGAGTAACTTGCAGTTCCTTTGCCCTCCTTGTTAACTGAAGGATAATAGGATTCACCATCAGAAAACACACACTGAAGCATCAGTACACAGTGGAAGTAAAAATATTTCATCGACTTACAAAAATCATCTGAATCTTCTTGGTCATCATCCAGAGAAAGCAACTTCTGCAGGTTACAATAACAATTATTTAGAAAAGATTAATGTCATAATTCGAGACTTGCATTGAAAAAAAAAATCCAGGGAAGGTAGCCAATGATCTGGGTGAATTACCTTCAAATTCTCATAGCATGTCTCAAGGTCATCATTGACCAAAAGATGATCAAAGAGACCAGGTTCATTGGACTGATCAAGTTCAGCCCGAGCATTTCTGAGTCGTTTCTGGATTTGCTCCTCTGTTTCAGTACCCCTGTATGACCAATTGACCAGAGAATAAATCAATCATGACATCTAGTTATATGATTAAGAATGACATAATCCATCACATGAGGTTATCCAAACACTATATTTCATGAACTACAAATATACCGTGCCCGAAGGCGCTTCTCTAGTTCCTCGAACGATGGAGGGCACACAAAGATGAATATTGCTTCAAGAGAAGAAGCCCTCACGGATCGAGCTCCTTGGACATCAATGTCGAGAATACACCTCTTCAACGAAAAAGCAATGGAAAGATGAAGCAGTTCACCTTTCAGAAATTTTTATCAAAGATTGTAGTAGTCTTACCTTTCCCTCATCAGTTACAGATTCGACTGCTTCAATACTTGTGCCATAAACATTTCCATGAACATGAGCAAACTCAAGAAATTTGCCCTCGCTTATATCTTTCTCTATCTTGCTTCGTTCTGTGAAGTGGTAGTGAACACCATCAATTTCCTTCTCCCTTGGAGACCTTGTAGTGTGGCTAACAGAAAATCCAAACTTCGATGGATAGTCTTTCATCAATTTTGCAATCAATGTCCCTTTACCAACACCAGAAGGACCACTAATCACAACCGGTTTTTGGCCAACACCAATTACTCCCTTGCTCCAAGAAACAACTTCTGTTCCCTTGATTTTCCGTTGCTGCTTAACAAAGGGGGTGTCTATCTGAGTGAAAAAAAAGGAGTGTGTCTGCTTAGTTAGGTTATAGATGTGTAAAAGAAAAGGTCTGACACAAGGAAATTTGTTAACATCTGTAGGAACAGAAACAAATTATTAAGCACCCTGTGCAAGCAGCTAGTGCATTCAAAATCTCTGAAGAGGAACAGTATTTCAAATCCAAAAAGAGCATCGTATCAATTGCTAGTGTATACCTCAAGGAACCAGATGGACTCATTCAAGGGAACACCCTTCTCGATAACCAATATCTTCTCATCACTAACTGGAATCACAGACTGCGACTTGGTTAGAGGTGGCTGTTTCCCAAGTATTGTGGGTACAACCCTGCAAATGCATCAAGACCAAAAATATGAATGAATAGCTAGAAATAAGTCGAGTGCAAGGGGAGCAGAGCTGACCAATGAAATGATGAAGTGCATTACCAAGTCTGAGTGAGTTTGTCAAGAATTTTAACCACAACAGACGTTTTGGAGTCATCATCTGATCTACTGATAACATACTGCAAAAGCAAGAGAATGTTGCCAGGATTTAGATCGAGAGTATCAGTCAGCAAAACAAACAGTAGCTGACAGCTACATGAGCAAAGTTAGTGTCTCTACATATTAGCAAAGGTATTAGATTGTGCAACGTATCATCTTAGTTAATTCCAAGCAGGTACAAGAAGCTCATACAGTACCATGTACCTGCCTACACTGCCTTTCTGCTTGAAAGAGAAAGGTCTAGCTGAGATGATGCGTGCTTTTTTGAAAGTGACAAGGTACTCTACGGGCTAGCAAAGGTACACATTCATAAAAAGAGCAGCAGCTACTTCGTATAGGTAGTACAAAGTATGAGCAATTGTTCCAAGCCTTAAAGCCATAAGCAATTGTTCCAACCCCAGCAAGCGATGTAAAGTGAACCAAAGCTAATTTGAACAGGCTAATCCATTCCACCGCACTCACTCACCGTCTTATCGCCGACGTCAGCGGCACTCTGTTTGCAGTCCTTGGCGTCGGCGACGCTGAAGTGGACAGCCTCTTCACCCTGTTGGCCCGATCAATCAAACAGATCAAAATCAGGAGCCACTATTCCAATAATACTTCACGTGCACATAGCAAACGAGCAAGCTGCCAAACGCGTTTGCAAGCTCAAGCTGCCAAACGCGCTTGCAAGCTCAAGCTGCCAAACGCGCTTGCAAGCTCATAGATGTAGCACCAGTAGTAGCTAACCAAACTCACCATGAGATGCGCCGCGGCCGCCAAACCGATCCGGGGGAGCAGCAGGTCGAGCGGATGCTCTATGAGGGCCCTGTTGAGCACGGCAAACAAAGGCGCTTAGGATCACATCACAGCTAACGAACGAGTGCATTCAGCAACGGATCGGGGGGAGAGGGAGGAGCGGGGTTCCGTTCCACGGCTCGAAGGCACACAGCAAGGAACGAGAACATTTTGAAGGAGGAAGAGGAATAAAAGGAGCAACCCGCGCAAGCAAGCAAATATCAAGCGCGCAGGGATCACCGTGGCGCACCCGGCAGCCGGGCGGATCCCGGCTCGGCGCGAGCCCGGATGGCGCCGGCGGCGCGGGCGAGCAAGGCGTGGGTGAGAGAGATTATTATATTTCAGAAGAGAATAACAATAGGAGGGGGCGAGGGGCGACGACGGGGGCGGCCGAATGGGAGGAGGGTACCTGGATCTGGAGCGGAGAATGCCGCGGCGGGCGACGGCGCGGAGGGAGGAGGAGGGATCACAGCTGGCGGTGGCGGGGGAGGAGGAAGGTGGGCTCGGAATCGGTGGGGGGAGCGACGACGAGGTCGCGGCAGGGTCTTTATACGACTTTTCCTCCCTTCTACGGAGTACTATTTCATTTTTGTTTGTACGAAGCGGAAGCGGACCGTGACCGTGTTGGGATTCGGCGGATCTGGTCGTGGACCGGCAAGGCAGCGCAGCCCAAACTCCAAAGCGCGGGGTCCTTTTTCGCTTTCCCCGCTTTGCACCTCACCTGGTCACCAATTTCGGGCTTGTTTTTTCGCCTTTCGCTTTGCGTTTCCTTGCATTTTCCCAAGTTGACTCGTGGACTGGACTAGGTTCTCGGTTCCTCCTCTGCTCTCACATGCACGTATGTAGACGTAGTCCTGGATTTCTAATCTAATGCTCTTAATTAGTAGTACGTACTACGGTACTTAACTTGTATACTGCTAAGTATACCCCGTCGAGCGCGGACTCTATAGCAAGATGCTACACAACATTTAAAAAAAAAAGTTGATCTGATTCTCCGTCGCAAGGGTATGCAACAGGTACTCACGATTGGTGGATGCACACGCGACTGTTATAGAGTAGCTAGCTACTGTTGGCTGGGTGTTGCAGCTCTCGAGCAGAGTGAATCAATATCTGTTCGGTGGGGTTTGTGTTGTTTTTTATTAAGAGCAACGGTCCTGGGAATCTCTTTCAAATGCACTTTAACATGTGTGTATATACACTAAAGAAGTTTTTAATGCTTAACTATGAATCGGGTATCGGTTCTTACGGATGGGCGAATGGGCTGCCCGGCTCAGCACAACCTGAAAATCTTGCCGGGCTAGGCATTACACACGGGGCCTTTCCTCGTGTTAGGCGGGCTTCAAATCCGAACCGAAATCCCTAACGAAAGCCCCACTCGCTTCACCACATCGGGCAGCCACCCCAGTCCACCTCGTCGTCGTGCGCCGCGCATGGTGCCCCCACCCATGCGCACTCCGTCTCCGTTGCACCCCATACCTTGCTCCTCCATCCTGCGTCCGCGTTTGCCGCGTTTACTCCCCCACGCCCACACCCTCTCCGCCTCCGGTGCGCCTCATCCTGCTCGGCTCGGCACCGTGTCTGCCGCCCACACCCACTCCGCCTCCGTGCTGTCAACGCCGCCGTTTCCCACCTCAAGGTCCTCGCCACTATCGACCTCAGCTCACGACATCACGAGATCCGAGTGGCCATGCCCTGAGCGGGCTTCTCCCTCGCGCTCTCTTTCTCCCTCGGCATTGGTTTCCAACGATGTGTACGAGATCGGGCAGGGGACGCTTCGCCCATCAGGGGCGACTCAGCCAGCAACGCCGACGAGGATGTAGTTACTCGGTGGGTCCGTGGTCGCGGGCGTCAGGTAGTTAGGAAGGTCGCCAACAGCAAGGCCCGCGGGCATCTGGCAGCGATGGGATATGATGTAGGTTGCAAGTGTATATTTTAAATGTTTCAGATGTGTTTAGAGGTATGTTTCATGTGTTTCATATGGATGTTGCAATGGTTGTACACGTATGTTGCAAGCATCTGTCCCCAATGTTTTATCTGTTTTTTTAGACATATGTTGTAAGTGTGTTTCACCCGGATGTTGCAAGTGTTTTATCTAAATGTTACGTATGTTTTGCAATACACACGTGTTTTTTTAGTGTGTTTAGACATATGTTGCAAGTGTTTCAGTGGTTTTCGGATGTATATTGCTTGTCTTTTATCTAAACATTGCAAAAGTAGATCTTAGTGTTGCACATGTCACAGTGGGACCTTAGTAGCCTAGGAATGGGAACATGCAATGGTCCACGTTCCCGTTCCCATGTTCCATGTTTCGGGAACGTCTATGTTCTAGGAACGGAAGCGTTCACGTTTTCACGTTATAAAACGATGATGCTCCAAATTCCCGTTCATGTTCCGGGAACGAGAACTGGAACATGGCTGCTAAGAGTGGGACCCATCTGCAGGAGCCACCTGTTGTAGCTGTTTGGGCCGCCTGCATGCGTGTGGGTGTGGAGGGGACGCCACGGTGTGGGCGCGGAACATGAAGCGTGCACGGCCCCACATGCAGCTGGCGCGGGCGTCCGGACATTAGCCCTGGTCGTCTGGGCTGGGTACTACACGTTCCGTTAGCTAAAATATTTAAATAAACCATTGGTGGCGGACACTGGCCTAAGGTTTGTCGTGCTACAACCCTGGTCATGGCCAAATAAATCAATAGTATAAATCACTTGAATAATTAAAGATTAGGCTCTAGTAATTGGGAACATATCTAGTGCAAACCAACCTCTCCGTGTAAACCGTGCAAACCAACTGCGGGGGAGAGGTGGGGGGATTTGTAAAAGTGTAATTACGCCCGCTCCTAATTACACTTTTGCAAATCCCCCCTCCCACCTCTCCCCCGCAGTTGGTTTGTACGGTTTGCATGGAGAGGTTGGTTTGCACTTGATACATTGCCCTAGTAATTTAGCCATAGCAATTTCATTCAGTCTGGGTCCTAGCTTGATCTTGGATCCGCCCCTGATACCATTAAAACCTAGCCATCGAAATGAAAATGACATGTGGCATTATTTACATGTTGGAGCATACGGCTACCAAAAGCTTATGTATGCACAAAACACGCGGAGAAAAGAAAAACAGCACAAGCAAGAGTAGCTGTATATATCGGATTTGGGCTTTGCACGACATGCCTAGAACCGAATAAAACCCAAACCCGCAATAAGCTCCAGTGGTCAATTTGAAGCGTTGGAGTAGTAGATTCCTTGCAATTGCAGGACGGCAACTTGAAAGTGTAAAGTTTAGGTAATGTCATATTGGGTGTTATATCGGGATGTTATGTGCGAGTGTTTGGACAGTAATAATAAAATAAATTACAGAAGTCCTCAGTAATCCGCGAGACGAATTTATTAAGTCTAATTAATTCGTTATTAGCACATGTTTACGGTAGCACCATATTGTTAAATCATGGACTAATTAAGCTTAAAATTTTATCTCGTAAAGTAGTTACAATCTGTACAATTAGTTATTTTTTAGTCTATATTTAATGGCAATATATCAAGTGCAAACCAATCTCTCTGTGTAAACCGTGCAAACCAACTGCGGGGGAGAGGTGGGAGGGGGGATTTGCAAAAGTGTAATTAGGAGTGGGCGTAATTATACTTTTGCAAATCCCCCTCCCACCTTTCCTCCCGCAGTTGGTTTGTACAGTTTGCACGAAGAAGTTGATTTGCACTAGATATATTCCCATATTTAATACTCTATATATGTGTCCAACATACAGAAAGTGAACTTTAGGAAAGGAACTCAACGAGGCCTCGTGGCTCGACGTGACGTAACGTGACTAGACAATAGGAAGGCGGCACCAACCTGCACCGGTTTCCGTTAGACACAAGCAGCCATTTCGGTAGTACTCGTAGTACTCCTTGCCGAAAAAAAAACGTTGGTTTCGTATGCTGCAAAAGCAAAACCACCGAAAACGACGTGAAAGGCCACTGAGGCCGGCCCTGCGTGCCTTGCGTACCTACACTACAGATGTCCAGCGAGTTAGTGACGGATGAGTGAGTGGATGACGACCTTTCTAATATCGACACCCTGATGGTAATGGGGCCGCGTCTAGATTCCGACGACGATGCCGACCAGTCCAAATTCTTTCGTGTGACATCATGCAACAGATTGTACTCTTTGCGTTACTAATTTGATCTAGTGAGAGAATTTGATTTGATTTCGAGTCTATAAGAACCACTAGCTAGTGTTATATATGTCTACAGCAGATAGATTCTACCACCCATTTGCAGTAGTTATACGTATTAGGGGGTGTTTGACAGAGCTCCTCTTGAATGGCTCTTCCAGAGGAGGCGAAATGGTTTTGAACGAGGCTCCGGCTCTGTTTTCTAAAAAATAGCTTCTCCCATAAAATATTTGGCAGGGCTCCTCCAAAGAAGCCGGAGCCAGGAAGGAGCCTTACCAATCAAGCCCTTATTATCGGCCAGCATATGCCACGCCAGGCCTCTTGCACAGAGATCTTCATATTGGTTGCTAGAAACGGTCCCTTTGATGTGTTGGTTTTCTCAACAGAGTAGCTAAGTTTTGACCAGAGCTACACAATTGATGACCAAAGGCAGTTATTGCAGGTTGGTTTTGCGGCTAACAGCGGTCCGTGTGCAGCTATCCTCGCATGTCAGTGGTTAGTTCGGTAAATAACAACGTCGGTGTACGGTGCAAGTGGCAACTATGTCGTGACAATGACACAGTTTGCAGCGGCCTGCAGCGATTTACCTTGCATGGTAGTGGCTTGCTCTGTTGCTCGGTGTAGGACATTGCCTTAACGACGGTGCAAACAATGACGATGGTGTCTCGACTTGATAGTTTTGTCATCCGATGACGATGTGTGGTTTGGGTTGTCTTGTAGAATGACGAAGTTTTGTCATCTGATGACGGAGTTTGCGACCTCAGGCCCACGCGCTTTCACCCATGGCCGTCTGGCCCGCCCGCTGCCCCGCACCGCCGCAAGCTGGCTCGCGCGTCCACCCTCGGGCCTGAGCGCCCTTCTTCCTCACGAGCACGTGCACCGCTCATCCCAAGTGGGTCGTCCCCATCCATTCTTTTTCTAGGGGCGAGGTGAACCCGAATCTTGCAGGAGTATTCCCCCATGTGGGATGACTCTGTCCCTCGTGCCTTCCAATCAAACATCTAGAAAAGTGGGATTGTCCACCCAATCACACACCATTCCTCAAACCAAACACTACCTAAATAATTGGAATAATTGCTCCTATTTGGATGTCGGGACTCAAATAAAATATCAGACGCCTACGACAGCCTCACATTCCTCTCCCTACCATCCAACCATTCATTCTTATCCACTTGTCCAAGGCTCAGCCTCACATTTTCTATCTTATCTTCTACTTCCATATCTGCACCCAGAACACCTCTCTCGCTTCACATCTTCCTCATTCTCCTCTCACACCAAGCCAAGTGGACGGCACAATGAGCTCGGCCATGCTTGCCATCTCAAGACGAAGCGATTCCTCATGGTGAAGCCTGGAGGTGAGCGTTGGGACACAGGGGCGGAGGCAGGGCGAGCCCCCATGCCCCTCTGACTTCGAGACTAGCCCCTCTCCCCTTTCCCCTCTTGGATAGATCTCTATGGCTACGTTGGAGGAGCATGAGGCTCTGACGCGTTTGTGGGAAAGGAGCAAGAGGCAGAGCAGTGGTGTGCTGTTGAGCGGAGGGCGATGGCCGTGTGGCCAGGGCTGGAGCTCCTCACCAAGATCTATTTCAGCGGATCCTTCAATATTGTTATGTTGCAACATATGATTATTTATGTTGCATTGATCTTTTTGGAGCCATTGCATTAACTCATTCGGGATGTTGCACCGCATAATAAGCGGATTTTGATATGTTTCTGTTCTAGATGCATTTTTTTGGATGTTGCGGCCATTATACCTATATGTCCCAACAATAAGTTGGTCTTGTTGCAATGACTAGCTTTTCTCTGCCAGGTGCAGGTTTGTTTGGTCGAGATCGAGATGGAGATAGACATGTGTTTTTCTACGTTGCAGTTGCATGTTTTTCGATGGTGCAACAAGCTACCAAGTTTTTCTGAAACATTCTGTATCGTGTTGTTACAGGTTTCCTCTAGTTGTTTGATAAGATGATTGCAGATGTTGCAACAACTGTGTTTTAGTGTTGCAGCAAGTTTCCTCTAGTTGTTTCATAAGTTGATTTAAGATGTTGCAACAACTTGTTTTAATGTTGTAGCCATAACTCTCTCCCTTCTCCTTGTAGCCATAACTCTCTCCCTTCTCCTCTGCCATGTTTGGGCGGTGCAACATGAGGTTGTAGGTTGGTGCGCAGTTGTGCTCCACCTTGTCCGAGTGAGGCGAGCGCATGGAACATGATGGGGAAGAAGGCCGGGTGCGCGGCGTGGTAATAAGCGTGTGAGCGGAGATAATTTTTTAATCATGGAGGTGGATCAACACAGCGTCTGATATTTATTTGCGTCCAGACGTCCGGACACTAGTAATTCCGATAAACAATGGTGGCCGGTGGAGACAGAGAAAAGAAAGACGGAACTGTTGGAGGAGACGTAATAGCTGTCTTTTAGAGCAAAGAAAAAGGAGCTGTTGGAGGAGAGTGTTTTTTTTTACTTGCAAAAGTTCTTACCAGTATTTTCTTTACCAAGTTACTGGTGAGATGCTCTTATTTCTCCATGCCTGATTCTTGAGAAAAAGAACAGAGATTGGCAGATCACAGAGGAGCAAGTATATGTTTAGTCTCACAAGAGTACCAAAAACAAAAATAAAAAATATGAGAATCCAAAAAAGTTGCTTGTTGATTCGAACTTAATAGAGAAGCATATATGGCATCCCACTTTTGTTTTGGAACAAAATATGTCAAAAGAAAATGACATGCCAACCTATATATAATACTAATAACCAAACATTTATAATAACAAAATTATATATATATATATATATATATATATATATAGGGTAAGGCTATTCTGCAGCTGGCCATAGAATAACTTATTCTATAGCCACCTTGATTTACGATAATGTTTGTACCAATTTACGATAACATAAATATGCATTTACGATACTCGTGTTACTACAACTCACGGTGATATTTACCATAATGTTCTAGTAAATCACTTAGTAAGGAGTTACTGTAATCTCGTAAATTAAAATAGTAATTATCGTAACTCAAAGTGGCCACAGAATAAGTTATTCTATGGCCAGTCACCACAGAACAGTAGTTATATATATATATATATATATATATATATATATATCCTGAAAAGTCAAGCCTCCCCTGTTCCTTTGTGCACTCTAATTTCCATGTCTTGCATCCTCCACTCATACTCCACAGGGCGTACAAACAACCCTAGCTCGCTGCACTTCCACACACTGGGCAGCCAACGTCCTACGTAGCAAGGGACGATGTCGAAATCCACCTCCTCGCCGTCTTCCAAGTGAGACGTATCTAAGGCGACAGTCATCCCCTCGAGTGCTGTTGCGCTTGTGAGCAACAGCCGCACCAGACGTATCTAGCTGTCTAGCAATTCCACGTATCTCTATGCTTCGTAGGTGCTCAAGGGAGAGCTTCTGGCTGTCCCAGTCCGTCGACTGAAGATGGCAGATGCAGCTTAAATCCAAGCAGTCCTCGCCCTGCATGCAGTTATATATTAGTCCGAGATAAATTAAACCTGAGCCAATTTTCATCGTGGTAAAATGACAAAGTCATGCATACAGCCGGCCTCACCCTGGAGGAATACATGCAGACGGAGTGGTGTTCGATATTGGTGCACTTTGCGATGAGCTTCGCTAGAGAGGCTCCGATGGCATGTCCATACGCGTCTACTTCTACCGTTAAATCGATAATGCTGGGAAGGTGCGGTATCTCGGCCATCATGTCCACGATATCTCCCTCTTGTATGTCATCGCTATGCGCCTCCTTCAATCGGAAACATATATGAAGTCAAAATAAAATAATCAAACTAGAAAACCATTGAGAGCATATGCCCTCACATACATCTACTAGTGGATGTACTTAAGGTACGTGTATAACAGGAGAGATCATACAATATCAATGTAAAATTAAACTAGAAAGCCCTTAATTAAGAGCTCGTGCCCTCGTGTGCCCTCGTGTTGTCTTCAATGGTGATGCACATAGAGCCATATGCCAACTCTTAAAGTGAAAAATAACATTATCTAAGGCCTGTTTGGATCTATTAGCTACTAGTAGTTAGCTACCTAGTAGGCCACAACTAATACTATATGCTATTAGGTAGTTTTGTTCGGCTAGTGAAATAGTTGTTAGTTTGATATTCAATTAATAATTAGCTAGACCTGTTTGGATCTAATGAGCTAATTATTAACAGCTAACTATTATTTTCTTGGATCAAATAGGGCATAAATAATCAACTTAACATATCATTATATAGGGGTGCTAGGCTAAGACTCCAATAATCAACTATTAATATATAAAGTAAAAAGAACTTTGGAGATAACCGTACTTACCATCATATGCGACCACCAGACGGGCATGACCACATCGGGAGAGCCTCGATGCACCGGACACTAACTGCACCGTCGAACTGCAGCAGCTTTGTGTGGCGTACAAACTCCAGCTCCTGCACGCGCGGCGCCGAGATCCTGGCCTCCGATAGCTGGTGGCAAGCGCAGACCCCAAGCTCGCGGAGGCCAGTCGCAGCAACGTCGAGCGACGTGAGGTCGCACAGGAAAGTCAGCCGGTGCTCCTCGAGCGTGTCCGCCGCGTTGAGTCTGAGTGTGGCGAGCCCAAGGACGTGGTAGAGCCGCAGCCGCCTCAGCCGCGGGCTGCACGACGACGACAGGAGGGCGTAGCTCAGAAACATGTCGGTGAGGGCGTCGAAGGCGCCGGTGCTAGCTACGGGAACCGTGAGCCTTGCTTTGCCCAGAGTCAGGCTCAAATTCTGGAGTCTCGCCGAGCAGGGCAGCTTGGCAACCAGAACATTCCTATCCTTCTCGTCCTTGTTATCGTCATCGGCATGCTCCAGCTCCACCACCGGCTCTACCACCTCGAACGCTGCGGCCGTCTCCACCTCCGCTACATGTTCTTCCTCCTCCTCCAGGATTGCCTCCGGCACCTTTTCTTCATCACCATCTTCTATCTCCTCCCCGCTATCTTCATCGTCATCCTCCATTATCGCCTCTTGCACATCCTTCATCACCAGGGCCGCCAGCTCTACCTCGACCGCTGCCATTACCTCCTCGGCGTCCAGTGAAATTTTTGCATTTTGGTCCCTTTTTAAAACATTTTTTACAAAAAGACCCCAGGCAAAACTTTTGTTACAAATAGACCATTTTTAATCGTCTTAGAAAATCACGCCGAGGTATGAAGGTCAGCGTCGACTGATACGACGCCGAGTCCTTGCCACGTCACCGACGACTCCGGGGCTGGTGTATGGGGCCCAGTACGTCGGCGTCGTGTCAGCCAACGCCACAGGCCTAAATTCAGCGCTATGGGGAGTTACGCTGAGCTCTTGGCACCATCCGGCGCGCGGCCCAAACGGCCCAACAACGCTTCGTGGGCCAAGAGGTCGGCGTGCGATCAGATGACGCCGAGACGCTAACCTCAGCGTGGCCCGACTCAACGCCAAGGTTCGGTCAGTTGAGGCCGCGCCGCGGCCCCCTTCCTCCTCCCTCCATTTAGAACCAACAGGTGGCCATTTTCCACTCCCTCTCTCTTCCCACGAACCCTAAATCCTAAATCCAGCTCTTGGGAGGCCAGATCGAGGGTTTTGACGTTTTGCCAAGGTACTCCTCTTTCCCCTCTTTCATTTCATCCATTTAGATTCGGTTGTTTGTGTTTTTTTTGAACTTGGCATTATAGGTTTGGTTCATGTTCATGTCATTCGTGCAATGTATGGTGGTTCAAATGATTGAATGACCAAAATGTATGGTTGTTGTTGTTGTTGTATATGTTCTGGTTTATAATCATTTAGTTAAATTTTGTGTTTGTTGGGATTTAAATTTGATTAGGGTTTGTAATGAAAAGCTTATTTGGGAGGTATGGTGATTTAGTGTTAGTAGCTTTACATTCGTTGAAAGGTACTTTGGATTGATTTTTTTTCTACGTAATGTTAGGATGTCAAGACGTGGTAAAGCTCATATTTCAAGGTAATCCCAATGTTTATTCATTATTTGTGCAACAAATAGAAAACCCTAGGCACAGGGCGGAGAGGGAGAAGAAGCTTGAGCGTGTGCGCCGAGCGAAGGCAGCGATGGAGGAGAATCCTGATGCCCAGAGGAAGGGAAAGTTGCCTCGTTGCACTCAGTAGTTATTTGGTTTATTCATGAGCGATGTCGTGTAGCACTGGACTTTTTTTACTATGTTGTAATGCACTCTGCGTTTATTTTAGATGAACTTATTCCCTGGACTTTTTTTATTATGTTGTAATGCACTATGCTTTTATTTCAGACGGTCTTATGTCCTATACTTCGTTAACTATCCTAGGACTGTAGTGCTACTGTTTGTATCACTGAAAATGCTACTTGTGCTATTGCAGTCACTGAAAGGGCTACAAGTACTGTTGCAGTCAATGAAAAGTCTATTTGAAAACTCACTGAAAAGCCTAGATTCGTTTACTGTTGTATCCGTATACGCAATGAATTAATATCAGAGTGATGTACTGCATTTAGATGAAGTGACAAAACACAGGTGTAGCCTTTTCAGATGAAATGACCAGTCATGGTTGTAGGCTTTTCAGATGAAGCATCTACCCTTTGCAGATTCAATAAATGAGTACGCACACAAGTTTTTTGTCAAATAGCATTCATGGTAAACCTGCCTTCATCTCTATATATAGTGCTCCATGTCTTGCTCCACATCCACACAACTTGTTTTCTGGTTTAGTTTTAGCAAATGTCGAGCGGAGGTTCCTCGAGTGGAAAGGGTTTCGACGGAGGGAGAGGAAAGGGAGTGAGGAAGGGACTTCCAATTGTGCGGGAGGGTTCTCTGGGTCCTAATTCTTTTGAAGAACCAATAGAGGAATTTCCTTTGGAGAGGAAGAGTGACTTCACCCGTGAGAGACCTCTTAGATCATACGACAAGCGCATTGAAGATTGCCAAAATGCTGCCACGGTTTGGATTGCGTTGTGCAGATGTACAACGACTGTGACGGTGGAGGCCGTCGTTTCTTCAGATGCCCGCGAGGATTTGTATTTCCTTTGAACTCTCTCCTTTTTTTAGATTTGCATTTGGTTTGTAGTAGTACTTATTGGTAGATGGTTTTTAGGATTCAAGCTGTCCAGATAACTGTGGCTTTACTAGATGGGTCGACCCTCCTCCTATCTATCCCCATCAACAGTACATCACATATATACATGGACGCATCTTTGACCTAGAGTGTGGCCCTAGAAGTGGTAACAGGGACAAGTCAGACGACGACAACAACAATGATGTAGAGGAGGCACTATGCAATAATCCGTACTGCCAGTGCCCGTACCATAAGAAGTACGGGCCTCCTTCTCCACCGCCACCGCCACCGCCGCCGTCAACTGGAGGATACTATGAGGAAGGCACAACTCAGTTCAATATGTGGGAGCATTATTAGGACCAACCTTTGTTAGTCAATCTGAATGTGGAATGCTTGTATGAGTTGTTGTTTTCAATCTCCTAAGACATGCTAGGTTTAGTTTGCAACATGCCATTGTTAGTTTTCATGCGAGTGTGTAATCGTAGTACCTTTGCAACGTCTGTATCACTTGTTTCTTTCAATCCCCTAAGGCATGCTAGGTTTAGTTTGCGACATGCCATTGTTAGTTTTGATGTGAGTGTAATCGTTGTGCATTCGCTATTTCATAAATTGCAGTCTTCGGATAGAAGGGGGCCAAATTGCAGTCTTCTGAATGGAGGGAGGAAGAAGAAGGGGGCCGCGGCGCGGCTTCAAGAGTCCAGACCTCGGCGTTGGGTCAGGCCGCGTCGAGTCTGGTGGCTCGGCGTTAAGTGACCATGCGCCGAGCTATTGGGCCACGAAGCGTTGTTGGGCCGCCTGGGCCGCGCGCCGGATGGTGCCAATAGCTTGGCGTGTAGTCCCACCACGCCGAGGTTAGGCCTGTGGCGTTGGCTGACACAACGCCGATGTGTCGGACCCCATGCACCACCGTGTCGCCGTCGACCAGGGTCGTCCGTGACGTGGCAAGACCTCGGCGTCGTGTCAGTCGACGCTAACCCTCATCCCCTTGGCGTCATATTCTAAGACGCATAAAAATGATCTATTTTCAGCAAACGTTTTGGCATAGGTCTTTTTGTAAAAAATGTTTTCAAAAGGGACCAAAATACAAAAATTGCACCGGCGTCCACCTCCACCTCTGGCTCTGCTACATGTTCTTCCTCCTCCTGGATCTCCTCCTGCGCCTCTTGTTCATCCGCAGCGGCGCCATCGTCGTGGTTGTCCTCCTTCTCATCAACATGGTGTGGCACCGCGAGCATGAATCTCCCAGCGACGCGGCGCTCTGCGAAGAGCAGCCATGCAGCGATATGCTCCGACGTGATGTCTTTGGCGTGGTAGTGCAGGCCCCTGTCGAACTGGTCCTCGTCACATACGTAGATGAAGTCCAGGTCCACGTCCTCCACGTCAGGACCACTATTAGCGCGCTGCTCGACGACGTCGCTCGCGGCGGCAATATAATGAGCCTGCGGGCCTCGTCACCGTCAGCCTCGGTGTAGGTCTCCGGCTTGCTGCGAAGAGTGAAGCAGAGGGCGATGGCGTTGGGCCAGAGGTGGCGCCACCGCCTGGACAGGACGGAGGTCCTAGCGACCTCGCTTGCCGCCGGCAAAAAGGAGAGGATCCTCAGCAGCAGATCGTCTTCAAGGTCGCTGATCAGGTCGACACCTGAGACCGCCGCCACCGACGTTGCGTTTGTCATGATCTCGCGCATGTTCGATGATTCCTCCATAGATCAATCGGAGATATATGTATGAGAAAAAGGAGATCCCTGCTGTATGCATGCGAGCAGGAGATCCTGCTGTATGAGAAAAAGGACTCAAAATTTGATGAGGAATTTTACAATGGTTCGAAAAAAGATGGATCATTCATTGGGTGAGATTAGACAGCGAAAAAACGGAAGATACCCAGCTAAAAGTACCTGAAGGTACAAATAGGTGGAGATAGTACCAGATTAGGTGGGACCAGTACCAAAATATGTTGACCAGTTATGTTTTTTCTGTATTTATTTTTTTCGAATAAGGGTAATCTGGTAATTGCAGATATTCATTCATCCTCTGTTTCAATCTGAATCACGTGCTCATTCACCTCGAGTCAATCTGAAATGTGCTCTCACTCTCCTTTCTTCTCCCATCGGGAGCACCCAGACCGCCGCCGCCCGGTTGCGCCGCCAGCCGTAGCTCACTGGCCGCCTCCTCCCCGACGGCACGGAAGGAGGTCGTTGGCATCCACCTCCGGTGTAGGCTGACGGGCTGTAACGGGTTCAGCAGCATTTCCACAGGAAAACAGAGGAGATGTTGATTAGAGGCTTTGTTTAGATTGCAATGAGATTATGCCTGCGCAAGTTTTCAAGAGCTGTCCATCAAGTCCGCAGTTGTTCTGAATCTTTTGAATGTAATCGATTCAATACGTGTGTATATATAAAAGACTAGTTTCTGAACTGATTTCATCTTATCATCATACAACAAAGGAGCAAAAATTTCACCTGAAAGTTCGGTTTAGACTTTAAGCTGTTATATGCAGAAACCAAAACGTAATTTTTTGAAGAGGACTGTACTCTTAACAAACTGAGTGAAATCTGCTGCCAGTTAGCGGCTGGGGTGGCGGCGCTGGGTCCACCGGCAGGGGCGGCGGCGGCGGCGGCGGCGGCGAGCAGTCGGGAGTTCGAGGCAGCGGCCTCCTGTCGGGAGTTCGGGAGCAGCGGCCTTTTTATATCCCGAGCAGGAGTCGTCCGGCTGGGGCAAATCTGAAACAAAAACCCCACGTGAGAGGCTTAAGGGCATAATCTCAAATTACTAGTATACCCTATACTATAGAAAATCTGTTTTATAAATGGTTTTTCTCAATTAATTAGTTAGAAAATAGAAAAAATGAAAGTACCAGAAGGTACTAGGGTACTTTTCCAACCATTGTAATTTGATATAAGATCGGAAAAATATGGGACTTCCCACCGGAGGAAAGGAACCCAGTCTCTTATTTGGTAATTTGGTAATAATAATTTAGTCTATCTATGTCTATATCTACTTTCTACTACT